CGCAGGGGGGCCTCTGCTGCCCCTTTCATGCATGCTGCCTGTAGGACGGAGTACAGCTGCTTCATAGGAATTCCAAGGCTGTAAATATTTTTCTTTTTTCTTCAAAAGACAAGGTTTATTTAGTTGCAGTGTGTGGTGTGTCTAGATGCTAATGGAGAGGACAATGACTAGAAAGGTATATTCGGATCCAGGTGACAAAGGATCTTACTGTCCAATTAAGAAGGTGACACTCTAAGCACACTACTTACTTATATCCACCACTCTTGATGCCACATTCTTTACAGAGGCCAAATTCTCCAATGCTTTATAAACTACCACCACTGACCTCCCTAAAGGAGATTAAGACACTAAAAGTCTGAATATAGGACACTCGTTTCAAGGGAAGCAAAGGACCTTGTCTGTTTCAGTTTCTCTTCCTAGATTTCTTGATGATCTTCGCATGGCATCTGTCTTTCTTTCTCTGTGCTTCCTTGCTTCTGTGTCTAATCTGCTCCCCTTGTATGAAGTAATTGGTGTAAGACACAGCCTGCTATGCCGCTGTGTGTCATCGACTTGGAAGCAACTCAGAGCTGAACTTCCAGCAAGTTTTCAGAGGCGGTTAAGGCTGTAAATCTTTACGGAAGCAGCTTGCCGCATCGTTCTTCCGCGCCAACATCCAGGAAAAAAGGATCATGTAATGTTTCAGTGCTGTCGTTTCTGTCATCAAGTCCATTCGTGACTCAGGTTGACAGAGTAGAAATCCCTCCTTGGAGGCGAGGCTTTGGAAGCTCCGTCTCACATACTTTGGCACGTGGCCGGGAGAGACAGGTCCTTGGAGAAGGACATCAGGCTCGGAAGGGTGGAGGGACAGCACAGGAGGAGGAGGACCCTGGATGAGATGGATGGACAGAGTAAATGGGGCAATGAGGGTAGGTGTGTTGGTCAGTGAGACTGGCTCAGGACAGAGCCGACTTCAGAGCTACTGTTCGTAGGGTCACTGTGAGTTGCAGGAGACTTGACGGCACAAAACAACAACAAAAATAACAAGGCTGTAAATGTATTCTTTCCCCTTTTTTGGTTATTATTTTTTAAAAATATTTTTTACATTTTATACTGGTTTACTTACACGTGGGACCATTCCCATTTCCTTGACCCCACTCTCCCTCCCCTCATCCAATTGTATGACCCTATAATTAACCCCTCCCACCCTACCCTGCCCATCCTCACCCCTCTGCTTCCCCCCCCACTTGGATCCTCATACTCATTCTACAGTAATGGTCTTATACAGTATTTGTCCTTGTGGGACTGAGTTAGTTCACTCAGCAAAGTTAGGTAATAATTTACAAAATCATTGCTCCTGCATGCTGCGTAGTATTCCATCATGTGATTGTACCATGATTTCTCGATCCATTTTGTGGTGGTTGGGCATTTGGGCTGTTTCCATGTTTTTGTGATGGTGTATAATGCTGCTGTGAACATTGGTGTACAAATCTCCATTTGTGCCTCAGTTCTCATTTTATTGGGGTGTATTCCAAGCAGTGGGATAGCTGGGCCCTATGGAATTTCCGTGTTCAGATTTCTGAGGAAATGCCAAACTGCCTTCCAGAGTGGCTGCACCAAGGCTGTAAATCTTTGTGGAAGCAGACGGCCTCACCTTTCTCCTACAGAGCAGCTGGTAGATTTGAATGACCGGCTTTTCTGTTAGTAGCCCATGTTAATCCACTGCACCACCAGTGTATATTTGCCTAGTTCCTACATGTCCTAATCACCGTCAGGATTTGCTGTTTCTCTACGTGTGTGTGTGTGTCTTGTCAGAAAGGCCTGGTCTCTCACTGTCCCTCTGTCCTCCTCCCACCCCTCACAGCCGTCTTGGCCCAGAAGGCCTGCCCACCTGTCACTGTAGGCTGCCCAGCTGCCGATGAGGTTTAGTGGACAGTGTTTGGTGGAACTCCCCAATTAAAACAAGCTTGGAAGCAGGAGTGGCATCCACTTCTGAAATAGTTTGCCTCAAGAAACCCTGTGAACTTGGAGAAACGATGAAAGTTATACAAGTGTTCAGGTCTTTCGTTCATAGGGTTGTTATGCATCGTCTATGACTTGATGGCACTTAACAACAACAGTGGCTTTTATGTACCAAGAATGGATGTGTAGGAGCTAGGGGCAGGCAGGAGTCCTTGACCTGGTGGATTTCACCTCCCAAGGGGTAAAGATGATAATAAACAGATAAAAGGGTGTCCGAGCTTCCAGACAAAGGAAAGACTCAGATCAAGTCTGGAAGTCAACTTGTAAAAAATTATCCACTGTTGAATAGAAAACTAGTTTGTTCTTTATACTTTTGTTCACATTGCATTTTTTTGAAAAAAATAAACAATAAAATTCAGCCTATGAAAACTGTCATGGATCACAACAATCTGGTCTACTTCTGTCTTAGTTATCTAAGAGAAATACCACTAGTATAACTAAATTCTCTTAGTTATCTAAGAGAAATACCACCAGTGGATGTCTTTAACACACAAATTCCTTTTCTCACAATTTTGGAGACTTGAAGTGTGAATGCAGCGTGCTGGCTCTAGGTGAAGGGATTTTCTCTCTGCTGGCTCTGGAGGAAGTTCTTTGTCTGTTTTTTACCATCTATGAGCCCAGGGTCCTTTGAAGAACTCATTGTAGGTAGGAATTGATCTCCTTTTGGGTCTGGAAAGTTCTTAGCATGAGGACCCCAGTTTCAACCAGCCCCTGGATCTTCCTTCTTGTGAAAGTAGGTCCTTCTACTCTCTGTTCTTTTAATCTCTTTTCTGTGTCAAAAGAGATGGACGCAGAATACAGGATGATCTTGTAGACTGCACTCTGCTGCATTAACATAACACAGCAGACGATTCACAAACACATAGGATGAGGGCATCAGATCATACATCATGGGACGATTACAGAATGCTCAGAACTTGGACTGGTCAAACTGACACATGTATCAAGGGGATACAGTTCTGTTCATAGCCACAGCAACTGACCAGAGAGATGGTTCTGGACCTGGTGGCATCTTGTTCCACATGATCAAAATCAGCAGGAGGTGAGTGTCAACCCGATGACTGGTCACTACGATGACCCATTTGTGAGAACCTCCCAGTGTGTTCTCACCATCCCCAACTTACTTCCTGTTGTTAGTGTCTACGTCACTCTCTTCTGAGCACTCTGCTGGCTGTCCTTTGATCCCTTTCCCAGAAGAACATTTCCTGTTCTCTCTCCTCACTTGGCATGTTGATCCTACCACCTTAAACCACTGTTGTCTTCACTTCATGGCCTCCTTTCATCGTCTGTAACTGAGAAGTTGTTATTTGAAACTGCTCACCTGTGCTGTAAACTCACTGAGTCAGTTCTAACTCATGGTGAACCTCCATTGGGTATTTTAGGCTGTGAATCACACCAGGAGGAGACTCCCTGCCTGTCTTCCTCCCGAGGAACTACTGTTGGAGACAAGCAGCCCTGAGGTTAGCAGTGCAACTCAACAGAAGACTACACGAAGAACTGATGCCTTTTTAATTGTGGTGTTAGTGAAGAGTATTGACCAAACTACGGGCTTCCAAAAGACCAAAGAAGTAGGTCTTGGAGGAGGTGCAAGCAGAGTGCTCCTTAGAGAGGAGGATGGTGAAACTTCCTCTCACATATTTGGGCTTGTCAGGAGGCGCCAGTCCTTGGAAAAGACATCATGCTTGGAAAATTAGAGGGTCAATGAAGAAGCAGAAGACCCTCAATGAGACAGATTGACATGGTAACTCGAACAACAGGCTTGAGCGTGGTGGAAATTGTGAAGAGGGCAAGATTGGGAGGGATTGAATAACAATGAAAGAGTTTTTCTTTTCAAGAAGAGTGAATTAGGGGAAGGGGGCGGGTAGGGAGAAAAGTGCAACAATGAATGACTGGAAACCCTAAGTCTCTGTAAACTTTCATTAAAATGAATTTTGTTGTTGTGTTGTTAAGTGCCGTCAATTCATAAGTGATTCATAGCGACCCTATGAACGAAAGTCTTCGACACTTGCGTGCATGACTTTCATCCTTTCTCCAGGTTCATAGGGTTTATGGAGGCAAGCTGTTTACGGAAGTGGATGACACTCCTGCTTCCACAAAATTAATGTTAAACACTTTTTAAAAGAGAAAATAAAAATCCTAAAGAAAAAAAAAGAAGGCAAAGTTTTGGCCTATTTTTCATAGAGTTGCTATGAGCCATTGACTCAATAGCAACGAACAGCCACATCTGTTCATTGTTCATTTTGTTTTCAGAGAGGAAGATCAGCAATGATGGCTGCAGCAATGGGGATTAAGCACAACAGAGTTTAGGAGGACGATGCAGGACGGGACGGTGTTCATTCTACTGCACACAGGGGTGCTGTGACTTGACAACGTTCAAGAACAACCATGTCTTATCCTATTTTTGGTTTCATCTTTGCCACCTCCATCTGTGTCTTGCTCACCACTGAGAGGCTGTAATTTGCAAATCTGCCTTCATTGTACTCTATCTTGGGTTTCATATCTTTATTTCCAACTTCATGAGTCCCAGGTAGCTATGTGTACATATTTATATCTTCTGTTTTGTTTGTTTTCTTGTTTATTTCCAGATTTGGGCACTAGACCTGACATGAAAGAAGCAGATCCAAAGGAGGGCATTTTGGAAGACAGACTGGCTTGTTGGGGGTTCATATTGGGGCCTACAAGGAATGGAGGTGGGGGGTCCCACCTCAGAAGGAGGATGGAAACAAAATGACTGGAGGGAAAGGCAGCCAGGAAGCACAGTGACCTGTTTGAACCCCCTGGAACTCCCCTGTGAGAATCAGCTCAATGGCTATAATGAGCTGAAGGCAGATTTCAACCAAAGCCCAATGGTGGTTCCACCAAAATTGGAAGACCCAGTGGGAAAAGGGAGTCAAACATTTGACATGCACAGACGGCACTTCTCGAGTAACTCAGACTTCAGTAAACTCCCCAGACTCTGTGTCGAGAAGAGATCCTACAACTGCAGCGAGTGTGGCAAGGCCTTCAGCCGGACCTCCTCTCTCATTAAGCACCAGCGGATTCACACAGGGGAGAAACCCTTTGAGTGTAACGTGTGTGGGAAGCACTTCATTGAACGCTCCTCCCTCACCATCCACCAGAGAGTCCACACAGGCGAGAAGCCCTACCAGTGCAGCGACTGTGGGAAAGCCTTCAGCCAGCGCATGAACCTCATCGTGCACCAGAGGACTCACACCGGAGAGAAGCCCTACATGTGCACCGTGTGCGGGAAGGCCTTCCGGAAGACCTCGTCCCTCACCCAGCACGAGCGAATCCACACGGGAGAGAAGCCTTACCTGTGTGGGGACTGTGGGAAGGCCTTCAGCCAGAACATGCACCTCGTAGTCCACCAGAGGACACACACTGGTGAGAAACCTTATGTGTGTGGTGAGTGTGGGCGGGCCTTCAGCCAGAACATGCACTTGACTGAACACCAGAGGACTCACACAGGAGAGAAACCCTACGAGTGTAAGGAGTGTGGGAAGGCCTTCAACAAGAGCTCATCCCTCACCCTCCACCAGAGGAACCACACCGGGGAGAAGCCGTACGTGTGCAATGAGTGTGGGAAAGCCTTCAGCCAGAGCTCGTACCTCATCCAGCACCAGCGGTTTCACATTGGTGTGAAGCCCTTTGAGTGCAATGAGTGCGGCAAGGCTTTTGGCAAGAACTCATCCCTGACTCAGCACCAGAGGATTCACACGGGTGAGAAGCCCTACGAATGTTACGTCTGCAGGAAGCACTTCACAGGACGCTCGTCTCTCATTGTGCACCAGATAATCCACACGGGGGAGAAACCCTACAGGTGCAACGAGTGTGGGAAATCCTTCAGCCAGAGCGCCTACCTCATTGAACACCAGCGGATCCACACGGGGGAGAAGCCTTACCGGTGCAGTGAGTGTGGGAGGTCCTTCATCAAGAACTCCTCACTCACCGTCCACCAGCGGGTCCACACGGGGGAGAAGCCATACAGGTGCAGCGAGTGTGGGAAAACCTTCAGCAGGAACACAAACCTGACCCGGCACCTGAGGATCCACACCTAGGAGATGCCTAGGGGTCGGGAGGGAGGGTACCTCTGTGTGGAGCTCTCTGTGGGATTCCCACTGTGCTGCTGTCTGCTGTGGAGTCATCTCAGAACATGTCCGAGGGCAGTTCAGTGGCTGTGATCACAGCAGAACTAGTTCACCTGGGCTTTCTTTGAGCCAGCAACCTTTAAGGTAGTGGCCAAGTACAACCACTGGGGAAGTCCAATCAACATTGTTAATGTAAGAGGTCCTTACATTGGTACACACAGGTAGATTGGTATTATGGAGGTCACAGGTGAATCTTACAGATGAGGGAGAAGCTTCAGTCCACAGACTTAGAAGACCTGTGAGGGATCAAGCCCATGAGTGTCTCTGCCATCTGTCACGTTTGTTTGCGGTTGTGTCGTGGTAACACAGCAGGCTATTAAAAGAATGGTCAGTGGTTCAAATCCATCAGGTGCTTCACAGGAGGCTCAGAACTATCTTGACATGGTGAATTTGCGTTGTGGTTGTGTGTGGCAGAGGTGGTTTGCCCTTAACCCTGGCCTAGCTCATGATGACCGCTCTGTAGGGTTTTCAAAGCCATGACCTTCATGCCACCATTGCTTCCAGTTGGTGGCTGATCCCTCAGCCATTCACTCCACCCTGAGTCAGAATCGACACCATGGAGGCTAATGTCATGTAACCTACAGGTCATCCGTTCAAACTTACCCATTGGCTCTGTAGAATATACCATCAATCTGATCCACCCAGAAACTGCACCGAGTGTGCTTTTGCTCTGCAGTATGCAAGGTTGTCATGAGTCCATTGACTCAGCCACAGTGCGTCTGGTTCTACACTGTGGTATCAGGTAGGAACCTAAGACATCTGAGTTGCACAGTCTTCTTTCTAAATAAATTGTTACACGACCCTGGACAAATATCTTCCTGTCTCCAGGTTTGTCTCCTCAGTGGTAAGGTGGAGGAGAGTATGCAACTGATGAACACGAGGGACATGTTTCCCTCTGAAAGCTCCACCCCAGCAGCCCAGGTGTCCAATTGATCCCTACCTGTGAACTGCCTTGATGGGTCAGGAGCTAGAGGGGCTTCAGTCCTCACTATATCTCACCCCCTATGACTCACCCTGTGGGCCACCAGGCATTGGGCATGTTCAAGTCTTCCATGGAAAAGAAACATCTTTTCCTGAGCTAGCAAGCAACAGATACTGCTTCAGATGCCAGCCCTCCTTAGAGCACTGTTGTATTTTTCAGTGAATTAAACTTACTTGAGGAAGGCCATGCCCCGTGTTGAAGAGGGACTGAGGGAGTGCTGCTGGTCTAGCTGGGCTGCCAACCAAAAGGCTGGTGGTTTGATAATGAGGCACAGCAGCTCCGAGGAAGAGAAGGCCTGGCCGTCCTCTTCCCTAGATTGCTGTTGACTGCTGTCGAGTCTGCTCATAATCAGAGTGACCCCCTGTACAACAGACACTGTCCTGTCCTGCATCCTTCTCATCATCTCTGCTGGGCTTCATTAAGCCCTGGGTGGTTCTTACTGTCAACACAGCCCTTTGAGGACTCTCCTCTTTTTGTCTGGCACTCTACCCATCCTGATATCCTTTCCAGGACCAGACCCTCCTGATAAGTCCCACATGCATGAGATAAAGTCTAGCCATCCTTGTGGGCAAGGACCAGCACTCTGGTTGCAGCGATTCCAAGGCAGAAGATCCAATAAAGGTTACAGCTCAGGAAACATGATGGGACGTTATCCCCTGTTCACCAAGAGTCAGAATCTGCTTGAGAGCACACAGCCGCCACAGGACAAGGAAGCAGGCTGCAGGGATAGGAGAGACAGACACTGGATTGTAGGGGAAAGGAGGGAAATCATGCTTGACAGCTCTGATGTTCAGGCTTAAATACACACAGGAGTTAATGAGTCTCTGGGTGATGCGAGTTAGGCACGTGATCACTCTCAGAGAGGTTGGAAGTTCAGCCCTATTCAGAAGAAAAGCCTCCAAAAACCACTGTCTTGAAAACCCTGTGTCCGTCGTTCAGCCCTGCACACATGGGGCCCCCTTGAGTCAGAACCAACTGGACATCAAGCAGGTTTGCAGAATGGGGTTCATGAATGAGCAAGGTGAACACATCCCACATCTGTATTGTGTTCTTCTCTGCCCACTTAGGTTAACTCCAGGCCACATAAACTTAGCTCCCCAAGGCTCACTTGAAGAAGTTGCCTGCAGCCTGTTTACACATGGAGCTTCTGCCTTGCCTGAAGTCTGCTTTCACTGGACCTTTAATGCCACCCCTTTTAACATCTGATGGTGTTTGGGGGCCCATCAAGTCAATTCCAACTCTGAGCAACTTTTTGTGACAGAGTTGTAGTTCTAAGGTGCCACAGAGTCAACAACAACTCACAGCAACCCTATGAACAACAGATTTGAAGCTTGCCTTATCCTGCTTCATCTTCAGTGTTTCTGGTATTCTCAAGACCCTTGTTATGGTGTGTCAGTCCATCTCATGAAGGATCTTCCCCTCTTTCATGGACCCTTTGCTTTTCCCCAGCATGATGTCTCTCTCCAAGGACTGGTCCCTCCTGATCATATACCCAAAGTACATGAGACAAGAGTCTTACCTCCAGGAATTGCCTTGGTGACACTTCCTCAAAGACAGAATTGTTTGTTCTCTTGGCAGTCAAGTACTTTTCACAAACACCACAGTTCTTCTGTCATCCTTATTCAGGGTCCAACTTAATTGCCTAAGAAGCAATTAAAACTATCTTGACTTTAGTCAGTCTTTATATGCCTGCCTTTGGCTGGTTTTTGTTTTTCTGAGAGTAGGGTTTATTAGGGAAGTAAGTTGGAGAGGGTTGGTGTGTCAGAATTAGTGAGACTGGCTCAGGACAGGGATGGGTTCAGAGCTGCTGTACGTAGGGTCACTGCTTCACAGGCGAATCAACCAATAACATTCTATGACAGGTTTGGAAGCCGGAGTGGCATCACCTTTCTAGCAACATGCCTCCAGAAATTCTATACACTTTGATAAATGTCGATAGTTGTAGAGGGGCTTCAAGCCTTTCGTTCATAGGGTCACTATGAGTCATGCTTGATTTGAAGGCAATCGAGAACAAGAAGAAGTTGGGAGACAAAGAACATCACCCAATACAAATTCAGGTTTTAATCCAGCAGTCCCAAGGCACAATTCCTCAATCAGTCCAAGCTCCAGTTTCAGCAGTCAGCTTTCCCTTCCATCATCCTGCAAGAACAGCAAAACCTTTAACTGTGGACTTTCTTTCAGGACTCCTCTAGTCACACACCTTGCCACAGTTTCTCCACAGCAATGCCACAGTCTCTCCACCACTATCACCAGGGTCTCACTCTCACCAGGATCTTGCTCCAGTCTCCCTCAAGGCTTGCTACTATATTTGGTCTTTTAGCACTTTAACAAGGTTGTGGACAACAGATTCTCTGAGGGCCACATGCCTTCTGATTTTTGACTGCTGCCACCATGGTTGCTGATTATAAAGATTCAAGCAAAACAGAGTGTGAATCATTTGTACCACCTATTTTTCTTGTCTCTGAATTGTTGTGTGCCATCAAGTGAGAACCGACCCATAGCTAACCCTCCAGCAGGTTTCCACAGGCTGTAAATCACATGGGAAGAGACTTGGAAAGGTGGAGGGTAGGTGAAAATGAGGAAGATCTTCAGCCAGATGGATTGGTGCAGTGACTGCTTCAATGAGCTTGAGTGTGTCAGCAAGCGTGAAGATGCCACAGGATAGGACAGGATAGGACAGGGTTCCAGATCTGTTGTTCATAGGGTCGCTATGGGTCATACTCAATTCAGTAGCCCCTAACAACGGTGAATCTCATGGGAGGAGATTGCCCATCATTCTCTGTCTCGGAACAGCTCGCCAATTCAAATCACGTGCCTTTGGGATTAGTAACACCCTAAAAAAATCCACTGCCTTCGAGTCATTTCTTACTTAGCAATCCTACAGAGTCGTGTTGTCCCATAAGGTTTTCAAGGCTGTATATCTACAGAAGCAGACCTCATCTTTAATTCTTTTTCCAGGAACAGCTGGTGGGTTCAAAATGCCAACCTTCAGTTAGCATCAAAGAGCTTTAAAGACTGTGGCACTGGAACTCCTCTATCCCTGAGTAAACTCCCTCTCACCCCCACCTCCCTGCTAATAAAAAAACCCCACAGAATCTCGCTGGTGAATTTATTCTTACTAAAGAGAGCCTACAGGACATGGTAGAGCTGTCCCTGAAGGTTTTTAAGACCAGTTTTTGTTTTAAATAGGATTTGAGTGAAAATTGACAATGTGTATTTGCTTTCCATTCCACCATTAATACACATTTTTGTTTTGTAACATTAATTGCAGTACTTGCAATGATTATTGTGGATATTCTTAATACCCACAGGTAATAAGTACATGGAGTTTTAATTAATACCCACAGGTAATAAGTACATGGAGTTTTAATTAATACCCACAGGTCAAATGAGAAATACTCCTCCCATTTCTTCTTTATACCCCTCATTTTATCAAATAACCATGGTTTCCCAAAGTAGAAAGTGTTTGGTGGAGCTCCCAAGTGTAAAACAGATTTGGAAGCAGGAGTGGCACCCACTTCCTAAACCACATGCCTCTGGAAACTCAATGAACTTGGAGAAACGACGAATAGTTATGGAAAATCATTAGGTTTTTAGTTCATAGAGTAGCTGTGAGTCGTGCTCAACTCAACAGCAATCAACAACCACCTTTATTTCTAGTAATCCTTTTATCCTGCCCCTTCTGCCTTCTGAGCTTTGGCCTTGAGGCAGATGGTGTTCTTTTTCTCTTACATGGTTATTGGTCACCTTACGGTAGCCGTTAGGGGCCATCAAGTCGAGTACGACTCATAGCGATCCTATGAACAACAGACCTCAACTCTTCCCTGTGCCATTCTCACAATCGGACACACTTGAGTCCATTCTTGTGTTAATTTATCTCCCTAGGGGTCTTCTGCTGACCTTCCACCTTTCCAAGTATAATTTCCCTTTCCAAGTAATAGCCTGTCCTAGCAAAATGTCCCAAAGTACGTTAGATGAAGCTTTACCATCTTTGCCTACAGAGCAGTCTAATCACACCTTGTCCAAGGTGTTTCTGTTTGTTCTTTTGGCAGTCCATGGAATATTCAGTACTCTTCTCCAACACCACAGTCCAAAGGCATCAACTGTTCTGTCATCCTTATTCACTGTCCAGTTCTCAAATGCATAGCAAGTGATCGGAAAGACCATGGCCTCTTTCAGATGCACCTTAGTATTCAAACTGACATCACTGATTCTCAATAATCTGAAGAGGTCCCTGACTGCCATCTTTCCCAATGCAATATGTGCCCTGATCTGACTGCTGGTACCCAGTATACTGATTGTGATACAAGTAAGATGAAGTTGTTGACAAATTCAAACCTTCCTCCTTCTATCATGATGTTGCCTGTTGGGCTAGTGGTTTGATTTTTCATTTTCTTGATGTTGAGATGTAATTAATATTGAAGGCTGTATTCTTTGATCTTCTGCAGCAAGCATTTCAAGGCCTTCTCATTCTGAGCAAGCAAGATTGTGTCATCTGTATAATGCAGGTTATTGATGAGTCTTCCTCCAAGCCTGACACCACATCCTCTACACAGAGTCAGGCTTCCTGAATGCTTTGCTTAGCATACATGGAATGGGTATGAAGGAAGGATACATCTCTGACAAACACCTGCTCTGTTTTTCAACCATCTTATAGGTCAGACCATTGTTTGGTGACAACAGAGCAAGAGGGGCAAGTTCCCGGTTCTGAGGGTGGCCAAGAGCTGTTGTTGTTGTTGTTATGTGCAGTTAAGTTGCTTGTGACTCACAGCGACCCCATGTAAAACAGCCGTAAACTCTGTCCTATGCCAACCACACTATCTCCGATACACCCATCCCAATTACCCCAGTCACTGAATCAATCCACCTCATAGAGGACCTTCCCCTCCTGCGCTGTCCCTCCACCCTCCCAAGCATGATGTCCCTCTCCAAGGACCAGTCCCTCCTTACAACATGTCCAGGGTATGTCAGACGAAGCCTCAGAATCCCTGGTTCCAAGGAGCCACCCGGTTTAACCCTCTCCTGGATGAATCTGTTTGTTTTCTTAGCAGTTCATGGTACCCTTAATACTCTTCTCCAGCACCACAGCTCAAAGGCATCAATTCTACTTCTGTCCTTCTTAGTCATTGTCCAGCTCTCTGATGCATAACAAGTGATTACAAAGACCATGGCCTGAATCAAACGCATCTTATTCTCCAGAGAGACACCATTGTTCTTCAGTACTTTGTAGAGGTCCCTAACAGCAGACTTTCCCATCACAATATGTCTTTTAATTTCCTGGCTGCTGGTGCCAAGAGAGATAGGACCCCACAAAATTGCCTCATCTGTTTGTTCTCCTTGCGGTCCATGGTATATTCCATACTCTTCTCCAGCACCACAGTTCAAAGGCATCAATTCTCTTCCTATCATCCCTAGTCACTGTCCAGCTTTCTAATGCCTGGATCAAGCACACCTTAGTCTCCAGCCTGACGTCATTGCTCTTCAGTACTCTGGAGAGGTCCCTAACAGCTGACTTTCCCAGTGCAATTAGTCTTTTAAATTCCTGGCTGCTGGTACCAGAGGGTTTATTGTGGAACCAAGCAAGCTAAAACTGTTAACAATCTCAATCTCTTCAATATGGTGCCAAAAACTCTTTGCCGTCACATCAGAGCCAACTCATAACTGACCCCCCTGTGTGATGTTTGAGGCTGTAAAATGGCACTAGAAGAGATTGTCCATCTTTCCAGTGATGGACTGGTGGGTGAATTACAAATGCCAAAGAGGCCCCAACTTTTGGGTTAGCGGAACAACTTCCTACAGACTCCCTAAGAGCCTGCAGGTGGTGCACAGAGGTTGGGGCTAGAACCTGTCAGGTGTGGAAGGGCCTGTCTGCTTTCGTGATTACAGGGTGGTGGGGGTGATGGGAAGGGGGTAGTTCCACACTGTAACACAAGGGAGCAGTCGGAGTTAGCGCTGACTTGGAGGTGGTTCCTCTGGCTGGGTTTGGTCTCACCTCTCCCCACAGAACCACTAAGGAAAGGCTGACACATAGAATCTATCTGGGAGGGAACACAGGGATGGGAAGAGAGGAAGAAGGGAGTAAAAATGACCAACCAGAAAAGCTGAGGTGACGGCAAAGGCAATATATAATAGGGGTTCATTAAAGGTGTTAGGTACCATTGAGCTGAGACTTATAGTGACTCTGTGGATCCGAGCCCCGTCCCATCCTGTGCCGTCCGAGCCCAGCTGCAGTCACTGGGTTGGTCTAGCTTATTGAAGGTCTTCCTCTCTTTCGCTGACTCTTCACTTTCCCCAGCACGCCGTGCTTTCCCAAGGTCTGGCCCCTTCTAACATACTCCAGATGTTGTTTTTGTTGTTATGTGCTGTCGAGTTGTTTGCAACTCATAGCGACCCTATGTACAACAGCCCTAAACCCTGCTCTGTCCTGTGCCAATTGCATTGCCTCTGACACACCCATCCCGATTACCCCAGTCACTGAATCAATCCACCTCATAGAGGGTCTTCCCCTCCTGCACTGTCCCTCCACTCTACCCAGCATGATGTCCCTCTCCAAGGGCCTGTTTCTCCTTGCAACATGTCCAAAGTATGTCAGACGAAGCCCCAGAATCTTTGCCTTCAAGGAGTAGCCTGGTTTAACCCTCTCTAGGATGAATCTATTTGTTTTCTTGGCAGTCCATGGTACATTCAATATGTTGCAATTAATTACATTAATCAGTGGTAATGAGTGTAATAAATTTGTCTATGAAAACCCATTTTGACTTGTTAAACTTTCAAAAAAGAAAGTAATGAGAGAAAAAAAACTACCCCACCCCAAGCCCCTGCTGTGTGATTCCTAGTAGGGCACTCTAGTGGCCTGACCCAAAGCCCGTACCTCTTCGAGGGTTCAAATCCACTAGCATCTCCATGGGAGAATGATGGGCACCCTCCTGTCCGGTGACTTACAGCCTCGGAAATCCACCGGAGGGTTGGCTAGGAGCGGGTTCTGACTCAGGGTGTTTTGTGGGGCCTGATACAAACCCGGAGACCCCGTTTATGTTCTTGTCCAATACATGGAAGGGTCATGTATGTTGGGGGGCCTTCCTCACTTTCAGCGATGGGGCAGCACTTGTTCGGGAAATGGAAGGTGGGTCACTGGTGGGAGCAGGACGGGTGGTCTGTCTGTGTGTCACAGTCACGGGAACTGGGGCAGTTCTGCTAAATCTGACGGGTTTGTCTGAACTGACTTGATGGCAGTGGCCTTGGTTTGCGTGTGGCACAGGCAGCAAAGCTTCTTGTCTGAAGAACTCCAAGGTGACAGCCAGGATCCAGCCAGGCCTGGGGCCCTTCTGCCGCGGGGGGTGCAGGTCTCTGTGCCAGGCCTGATCCTTGCCCACACAGAAGTGTCAAGATCCGGGGTGTCCTGTCTGCTGACCCTTCTACCGAGCTATGCAGACAGGAGTTTAGAAAGTCAGGTTTGCTGGAACGCTGCGTCCAGCAAGTGGACAAGCCCTGCTTCTCCAACAGCTCTGTTCCCTTAGCGTCCCTCTGCCCCTACCTTGGACATGCTCACTTCAAGCTTTCTGGAACCACGAGGGGTGTTGGATGCTTCATAGACTTCAGTGCAGTGCAAAGGCAATTTTTCTACAGCTGGAGAACTAGAGGGGCTGGCCACTGCGCTGCGGCCACTTCTGCCTGCTCAACTCTATGGTGGTGTATGGTGGTGGCCTGGAGCTGAACCCCTCTTTCTTCTAAAACAAAACACCCAATGAGTACGGAGCGAACGTAAATTTTCTACAAACTAGTAAAAGACAGAGGCCACCTGAGTGGCCCGCTTTGGTGGGAGCTGCAGATGGAACCTCTGATCTCTCATAGGTGCCCATTACAGCACATGTGGTGACAATGCTAGCCAGTGCCCATAGCGTTTATTCGAACTAGGAAACGAACAGAAGCCACCGTATTATGACCTGCCTTGGTGGGAGACAAGCGAACCGAACTCTGATTCCTCCTAGGTGGGGCACAGCTGGTTGTGGGGGCGCACGGCTGGCTGTGTGGGGCACGGTCGGCTGTGGGGTAGCACACGGCTGTCTGTGGGGCACGGCCGGCTGTGGGAGGCATGACCAGCTTCGAAGGACACAGTTGTCTTTGGGGGGCACGGCCGGCTGTGGGGGAGCACACGGCTGTCTGCGGGGCACATGGCTGTCTGTGGGGCACATGGCTGTCTGTGGGGCACACTGCTGTCTGTGGGTGGACATGGCTGGCTGTGAGACAGTTGGCTCTAGGCATGAGGATCGCTGTAGGGTTCACAAACTGAACCCACGACTTCTCCATCTAGTACCTTTCCTGGACACTCAGTGGACAAACACTGGTGTAAGTGTAGCTTTTACGCATCCTTGAACACCCAAACCTCTGACTGCCTTTATTGCTCCGTTTTATTCTAATACTAGCTTTATGACAAAGTCCTCTCTATCGCCACATACACTTTATTGCGATCCCTCCAACACATGCGCGCTGACCTCACCCTCCGGGCAGCGTCCGGTCTGTCACAGAGGGACAGTCCAGTCCAATCGGCATCCTGGAAGCCACCGCGCTCACTCCACAGTCACGAGGGTGAAAGCGGAGTCCTCGCAGGCGCGGGGCGCCTCCTCGTTGGCGCGCACCGCGGCTGCCGCCTCCTCTTCCTCCGCGTGCATCTTCTGGTGGCAGGTGAGGTTGCCCAGGCGGCGGAAGGCCTTGCCGCACACCTTGCAGGGGTAGGGCTTCTCGCCCGTGTGGATGCGGCGGTGCGCCGTGAGCGTGGGCTGGTGCCGGAAGGCCCGGCCGCAGTAGCCGCACGTGTAGGGCTTCTCGCCGGTGTGGATGCGGCCGTGCTGCACCAGTGTGGACTTGCGCACGAACGCCTTGCCGCACACGCCGCACTTGAAGGGCCTCTCGTCACTGTGGATGGCCTGGTGCTGGAAGAGGAAGGAGATCTTGCGGAAGCAGCGGCCGCACTGCGCACAGCTGTAGGGCTTCTCGCCCGTGTGGATGCGCAGGTGGATGGACAGGTGCGCCTTCTGGCTGAAGGCGCGCTTGCACTGGCCGCACTCGTAAGGCTTCTCGCCCGTGTGCGTGCGCTGGTGCACGGCCAGGTAGCCCTTCTGGCTGTAGCACTTGCCGCACGCCGGGCACTGGAAGGGCCGCTCACCGGTGTGGCGGCGCCGGTGCACCACGAGCTGCACGTTCTGGTTGAAGGCCTTGCCACAGTCGGCGCACTTGAAGGGCCGCTCACCCGTGTGGATGCGCTCGTGCAGGATGAGCGCCGAGGACTTGGTGAAGCGCTTGCCACACTCGCGGCAGCGGTAGGCGCGCTCGCCCGTGTGCGTCTTCTGGTGCTCCACCAGCGTCATGCTCTGCGTGAAGGCCTTGCCGCACTCGTAGCAGCGGAAGGGCCGCTCGCCCGTGTGGATGCGGTGGTGGTTGACCAGGTCCGACTTCTTGCGGAAGGCCTTGGCGCACACAGCGCACTTGTGCGGCTTGGCGCTGGCCGAGGCCTTGCGGTGGCTCAGGAGCGAGGAGCGCTTGGCGAAGCGCTGGCCGCACACGTCGCAGGCGAAGGGCTGCTCACCCGTGTGCACGCGCTGGTGGTGGATGAGGTGGGTGACCAGCGTGAAGGACTGGCCGCAGTCCCCGCAGCGGTAGGGCCGCTGGCCGGCGTGCGTGTGCAGGTGGCCCACCAGCTGCATGTTGTGCACGAAGGCCTGGCCACACTCGCCGCAGCGGTAGGGCCGCTCGTCCACGGGCGTGCGCTGGCCCAAGGCGCTGTCTGGCCGGCACGGGAAGGGCTGGTGGCCCGCGTGCGCGCGCCGGTGCGAGGCCATGGTGGCGTTGCTTTGGAAGCGGCGCCCGCAGTCAGGGCAGGAGAAGGGCTTGTCTACGGGGTCCGCGCGCTGCTGCCGGGCCAGGGCCGCCTCTCTTCCCGGGGCCCACGGCTGCTTCTCTGGGTTTGTCACGAAATGACCATGCGCCTGCAGCTCCCATGCGCTGTGGTCCTGGCCTTCCGGAGTCCTCGGGGGCAGAACTGCCCGAGGCTCTCCCTGCAGAAGCTCGGAGGTGCTGTCCTGTCCCCCGGGGCTCAAGGCACGGCCCCCGCCCTGCTCCCCGGACTCCAGCGCTGGTAATGGGCCTGGGCGGCTGACTCCTGCTGCGGCCTCGTTCTCCGGCCTCGACTCCAGTTCTGAAAGAAACAGAGGGTGGATGGCACCTGCGGCCTGGGCTCCGGAGGGTGGGCAGGGGCCCGGCAACAAAAACGGGAGCCAAACCGAACCCCGCTGCCCGCAGGCGGGCCCCACAGCCTCTCCTGGGCTGTCCACAACCCCTTACTCTCCAGGCAAGCACTCCGGAGGAACACTCTTCTATCTATTGGTAATAATTATAGTACTGTTTGACTTATCAACGTACGCCGGTGTGTAGGCACTGTCCTGTGTGTGCCATAGTGTGTAACCTTTCTGGCTGTGAAACAAAGGGTCAGCTGTGTGAGGTACCCGCGGCTCCAGGGAGAAGGCCTGGCAGACGCCTCCCTAAAAGACTGGCGCCTCAGAAGCCCAAGGAGAAGCAGCTGGTGGCTTCAAACTATGTACCTCTTGGGATTACAGCGCGGCTTCTTACCATAAGGCCGCCAGAACTTCCCCGCAAACTAACACGTCAATTGTTACTGTGTCCTGGAAAGGGTTAAACCGGGTGGCTCCTTGGAGGCAAGGATTCTGAGGCTCCGTCTAACATGCTTTGGACATGTTGTGAGGAGAGACCGGTCCTTGGAAAGGGACATCATGCTTGGGAGGGTGGAGGGACAGCGCAGGAGATGAAGGCCCTCTATGAGGTGGACTGATTCAGTGACTGGGATAATTGGGGTGGAAGTGTCAGAGACAGTGCGATTGACACAGGACAGAGCGGAGTTTAGGGCTGTTGTACACAGGATCACTATAAGTCGCAAGCGACTCAACGGCACATAACAACAACATCAACAACAAACCACAGAGTCAGAACCGAGACCCACAGCTGACCCTCTGGTGGGTTTTCAGAGGCAGTTAATCAAATGGGAGGAGAGTGCCCATCCTTCCCTCATATGTCAATTAGTGTTATAATTATTACCAATTCACGTACCAATTACATACATACTTATATGCCAGTTAAATGGAATGATGAGTAACATGTACACACGTCAATCACGTACCCATCAGTATATGCCAATTAGGTTGTAATTATAACCGGGACATGTGCCAATTACATCCATACTGATATACACCAGTTGATGTTTTACTTCAGGGGCCCTGGTGGCCCAGTGTGTAGAGCACTGGGCTGCTGACCAGAGGGTTGCAAGCAGCCGGACCCACAGAAAGATGAGCTGGTTTCTGCTACAAAGCTCTGCCGGCCAGAAGACGCCGGGGGCTGCTCTGCACAGTGCCCGGGGCAGTGAGCCGGCAGGCCCTGGACTGGAGTGGTCTGGCTTTTCGTTCTGTTTTCTGACTAGATGGCACTTCAAGAGCTGCCGGCAGCCAGCTCTCGGTTGACCGTAACGTAGGGACTGACATCCTCTGTCAGGAGGCTGTAGATGACGGGCTTAGCTAGGAAGGAATGGGCCGGTGGAGATCTCCATGAGCTGGGTGGACATGGAGAGTGGACAGTGCTCGTGGGCGTGGTGGGCATCATGGGGACAGTGCAGGGCAGGCAAGGTTTTGTTCTCTCGCTCCCAGGGTCACTGTGAGTCCATGTGACTCGATGGCACCCGACAACAGATGGGTTCCCGGTGCAACTTTAAGACACAGACAAGAGTGCTCTCCAGGGACCTCTGGGGCACCTTCTGAGAATCGGCTGACCGCCAAAGGCACATGCTTCCCAGCACAGTTGGTCAGCGGGCAGCTGCAGCCCCGGTTCTCAGTCGGCAGAGCTGGGGCAGAGTCTGAGAAGTGATCAGAATGGAGTGAGGTCTGTGTTACGCTGGAGGGCAGTTCTGCGCTGTCCTGGGGGGACGGTGAGTCTTAGCTGACCATCGTGAACCACAACCAGTTATCACATGACCGCAACTGTGGTTATAATTAATGTCATCAGCCTCACATAATATAGAATCACAACTGGCCACAATGAATGATCACATCACCCTAATGATTAACAATTAAAGTCATAGCTAATATACTACTAATAATTATAAGAGATAGTCATTTTAATGACTTATCTAATTGACTGTAACTGTCATTAATGATGGTTAATAATTATATATTATCATAAAATAAACGATAAATATACAGTAACAAGGAGTATATAAAAATTAATAATTATTGATGATCATGGTTATAAAGATGGTAATTTTACATGATATAACTGACTGTAATTAATTATGATTTAACCACAATTGTGGTTATACTATGATTACAGTTATATAACTATGCTACATAGTAACCATAACAGTTGTGCTTGCGGCCTTGTGTACAATAGCCCTAAACTCTGCTCTGTCCTGTGCCAATCGCACCGTCTCCGACACACCCATCCCAGTGACCCCAGTCACTGAATCAATCCACCTCATAGAGGGTCTTCCCCTCCTGCGCTGTCCTTCCACCTTCCCAAGCATGACGTCCCTCTCCAAAGACCTGTCCCTCCTCACAAAAGCCGAACTGCATTGGGGAAAATCTGCTGCCAGGGACCCCTCTGGAGTATTGAAAAGGAACGATGTCAGTCTAGAGACTAAGACGCGCCACGGTCTTCTCAATAACTTGTTATGCTTCAGAGAGCTGGACAATGACTAAGGATGACAGAAAAAGAATCGATGCCTTTGAGTTGTGGTGCTGGAGAAGAGTCTTAAACATCCCACGGACCACCAAGAAAACAAATCGGTCTGTCTGGGAGAGGGTGAAACCAAGTTTCTTCTAGGAGGCTAGGATTTTGCAACTCTGTCTCATATACTTTGGACACGTGGCCAGGAGAGACCAGTCCTTAAAGAAGGACATCATGCTCGGAAGGGTGGAGGGACAGCGCAGGAGAGGGAGGCCCCGGATGAGATGGACTGATACAGTGACTGGGGCAATGGGGGTAGGTGTGTCAGAGTCAGTGAGACTGGCTCAGGACAGGACAGGGCAGGGTTCGGAGCTGCTGCACATAGGGTCGCTGTGGGTCACAGGTGGTTCAACGGCACATAACAACAACAACAAACTGTATAAAACAGTGAGCTCTGGTGACCGAGCCCTCAGGAAGCTGTGCTGCTGACCTTGGCTGTGCCAAGTTCAAATCCACCGGCCACTCTGAGGGAGAAAGATGAGTAGTCTCCTCCTGTGGGATTTACAGCCTCTGAAAACCTTTGTGTGTGTGTGTGTGTGTGTAGGGTCAGCTGAGGGTCGCTCTGACTCGATGGCACCGAGTAGCAGGAATAGAGTGGGAGCTGTTACGTGGTGTCCAGTCGGCAGTGACACACAGCTGACCGCTGAATGGCCTGCCTTTGTCTGTCCTCCAGTGACCAGCTGGTCCACACTGCAGACCTTTTATTGCTGCTGTCAGGAGCTGTCGAGGGACTGGGACCTGGGGGCCCTGTGCCACCTTCCCCGCGATCTTCTCACGGCACGTTCATCCCTGCGGTCACTCCGTCTGTCCCGCTCCCTGCCACCCTTCCTCCATTTCCCTGACGCTCTACTTTTCCCAGCCTGATGCCTTCCCCGCACCCCCCCCCAAGGACCGGTGCATACAACACCCCCCCCAGAGTTCCTCGTACTAAAGTATGTATACCAAGTCGCATACCCGACCCCTATGTTTTTTTAACCCAGGGAGGCTCCTTTTGGGCGATGACAGGTCACGAGCCTCCTTCCCCCACCTTACCCAGCGAGCTGAGGTTCTGGAAGTTCTCCAGCATCACGTCCTTGTACAGGTCCCTCTGGTCGGAGTCCAGCTGCTGCCACTCCTCCTGGGTGAAGTTCACGGCCACGTCGCTAAAGGTCACCAGTTCCTGCAACAGCAAAGGCGTCCTGGTCACTGACTTGGCGGGATGAGGTTGGGAGGTTCAGGGAGCAGGGAGGAGGGCGCTGGCTCCGGTGGGTCAAAGCCTTGGGCAGTGTGAATGGCTATAACATTCACGGAAAGGCTGGAGGTTCAAACCTGCCCAGAGGCACTCGGGAAGAAAGGGCTGGTGACCCACCTGCAGAAAGCTCTGCAACTGAACAACCCCCTCCACACCGGGATACACACGTGGGTCTCCAATAGGCAGGCCCAAGTCCACGGCACCAGGGCAACATTGCTGTACGTCCCCCAGGCTGATGCAGGTGCAAGGGACGTAGTTGTTATAGGTGTGCCCCGTGTTCATGGCACCCAGGTGACACAGATGCCAGGGACATAGTTGTTCAGGTGTGTCCTGTGTTCATGGCACCTGGGTGACTGTACTGTAACGTCCCCCATTTTTTGTAATCTAAGTGATGCCATCGGGTATGAGTGGATTTTATTAGGCCTTCTATTCAAAAGTGCATTTGGTCACCAGTATGGGGCTGGAATTCAGATTGGGAAGTTGTCTGGAGCAGCTGGATTCTAGAGGTTTAGTTTCTGGTTCTGGTGAGGGTTAGGATGGAATGTCTACTTGCCATTAAGTGTGAGTTGATTTTGTTAGGCCTTCTATTCTAAAACTGTGTTGGCCTCGTGGATAGAAAGTGATGCGACTAAGCCAAAGGTGGGTGATTTTAATCTGTGGCCCTCGAGCCTGGTTTAAATTGTGTTGTGTTTTTTTTTGTCAAACATTCTTCTAGGTGGTATAGCCCTGGTCTGTCCATTTGCTGTACAGAGGTAACTTGTGGTTGCTGTGAAGCTGAACACTGTGACACTGATGTGTCAAACGCGATCATGGTCACCCATGGTGGACAGTGTCTGGTGGAGCTCCTTGACTAAAACAAGCTTGGAAGCAGGAGTGGCATCCACTTCCAAAATAGCTTGCCTCTGGAAATTCTATGAATGTGGAGAAACTATGAAAATTATACATGTGTTTAGGTCTTTCGTTCGTACAGTCGCTGTGAGTCATCTATGATTCAAAGACTTAACAACAACAGCAATCTGAGTGAACATTTACAGGGTATATTCAATAACCATTCCCAAGTCTTTTCATCTTCTACACTGACTCCAATCCCCACTTTTTGCTCTTTTCCTCCTGTGCTTTGCATTGCAAGTAACCATTCCCCCAACCCCTTCCGGCCTCACTGGCAAATGCTGCCTTTTTTTTTGTTTTTTTTAACTTTGATGGTGGCCGTGAGTTTGGCTTCTGGTTTTGGCCACCACCTCCAGGCTAGGTGTGACCTGCACCCTCGGTCCCTCTCGCATCTGCTCTTTGTTGCCAGCTCCCTCAGCATCAGCTCCGGCTCACGGCGACCCCAGAGACAAAAGCAGACGTGGGCGCCCAGTCACCCTGTCCTTCCTCCCCGTCGCCGGCCTGCTGGGACTGTTGCTGCAGCCTCGGTGTATTTTGAGTGTCTTTCAACCTTACTTGTATGCATGCGAATGCCAGACTGCAAATAAAGAAGACAGCAAGACAGCTGAAGAACCGACGGTGCCTCTGAGTGGTGGTGTTGGCGCAGAATGTGGGACACGCCACAGGCTGCCAGAAGAACAAACAAATCTGTCTCGAAGGAGGTGAAGCCAGAATGCCGCCTCACAGGGAGGGTGGCAGACTTTGTCTCAGACTCTGGATGTGCCATCAGAAGAAGCCTGTCGCTGGGGGAAGGACATCTAGCTTGGTAAAGCAGAGAGGGTCAGACCCTGGACTGGCACAGTGGCCGCAAGAGTGGGCTCAGACGCAGCAGTGACGCTGGGCAGCTTGGGGCAGGGCAGCGCTCCGTCCTGTCCTACGTGTGCCATTCATTATAAGTGGTACCTGATTAGATGGCACTGACCACCGCCACCAAACAGCCCCACCTAGAAGGCGGTCTTCCCACTCCAATGGCCACATAGCACTCGGCTGGGATGCAGAAGGTCACAGAGCACAGAAAAAAAGACAGGATGCCCCTCGAAGAGAGGGGCTGCACCGAGAGGCCCGAGGGTGGCGGAGATGGTGAGGGTTAGTGCAGGACAGGGCAGGGCTCCACCTGGGAGCCCACTGTAGGGCCCCAGGGAGTCACCAGGTCATTTTGTGACTCTCTGGGTGGATTTGAATCCTTAACCCTTCAAATGCCACCAGAGAGATGGCAACAGGTCCCCCCAAGACCAGACCAGATGCCCTTGAGCCCACCCCGGGATTTTCAGAAGCTGGACACAGGGAAGACAATGGCCATGGCCTTTTTGAGGGGCCCTGGGTGGGCCTGAACCACCAACCTCTCTGTCAGCAGCGAGTGCGTTAACTTTTTGCACCACCCGGGGACGGGCACCGCCCGCATACAGGCACGCATGGGAGATGCCACAGGTTCGATTCCTACCTCTGCGAGAAAGTGACTATCATGATAAAATCACACAGATTTTTCTAGTTTTCCCCCACGTAAGTGACTCATTTACAGACTTGGGTGTACCTGGTCTACTTCATGGTCTTTTCAGGTGCTTCCTATGCTTCTGGAAGGGGGGCAATGAGTAAGGATGACAGAAGCAGCAGCAACGTCTTTGAATGGTGGTGCTGGAGAACAGACCATCTCCCCTTCCTGTCACCCAGGACTGACAACCACGAAGAGTGTTTGGTAGAAAGCGTGGCCAGGGGGCTTCTCAGAGGCTAGGATGGCGAAGTTTTGTCTCGCACACTGTGGGCACGACGGGAGGAAGGGCCGGTCCTTGGGAAAGGCCTGCACGCTTGGCAAGGTGGAGAGGCAGAGAGGAGACCTTCAACAAGAGTGATTGACACACAGAGCCTGCAGCAACGGGCTCAATGATGTCAGAGAGGGTGAGGAGGAAACGGCGAAGGGCACGGTTCCAATCCGGGGTTCACGGGGTCGCTGGGAGTGGTGAGCGACTCAACACACACAATCACAACAACAAAACATACATTTGTAAACATACATCTATGTATCTAATACATATCATTACGTATATACCATTGTTGGGAACCGTAGAGTTGGAACAGACCCATAGCTGACCCTCCAGCGGGTTTTCAGAGGCAAGTAATTGCACGGGAGGAGACTGCCCATCCTTCTTCCACAGAGCAGCTGGTGGCCTCGAACAGTGTGCCTTCAGGATTGTGGTGTAGCTTCTTGCCAGTAGGCCATGATGGTTGTTGTGACGTGCCATCGAGTCACTTGCAACTCATAGTGACCCTATGTACAACAGCCCTAAACCCTGCTCTATCCTGTGCCACTCTCTCTCCAACACACCTACCCCAATTACTCCAGTCACTGAATCAATCCACCTCATAGAGGGCCTTCCCTTCCTGTGCTGTTCCTCTCCAAGGACTGGTCCCTCCTTACAACATATCCAAAGAATGTCAGACGAAGCTTCAGAATCCTTGCCTCCAAGGAGCAGCTTGGTATAACCCTCTCCAGGATGAACTTGTTCGTTTTCTTAGCAGTCCATGGTACATTCAACACTCTTCTCCAGCACCACAGCTGGAGAAGTGTATTGAGTACATATATTGTTGTTGTTCATTGCCTTCGAGTCGAGCAAGACTCAGAGTGACCTATGAACAAAAAGCCGGAAGCCCCTCTACAACCACTGACATTTATCAAAGTTCATAGAGTTTCCGGAGGCATGTGGTTTAGGAAGTGGATGCCTCTCCGGCTTCTAAACATCTATATTATACAGCTATGTCTCTTACATACGTAGTTATGACTCAGTGAACTGCAAACTGACCCCAGCCGCCTATGTGGAAGAAGGGACCATCGGGGAGGGTGACTCACCACGACCTTGTCTGTCAGCAACTGGGTGGACATCCCTCCACTGTCCATGTTGTCAGAAGGGGCTGGTGGGACGGTGGGGTCCAGAGGCCGTGATGCTAAAGGGAGAGAGAGGGTGAGGAAGGGGCTAGCTTCGCCTCCCTTTGGGATGAAACATAGAGCTGCAGACCTGCAGGTACGTGCAGACACACAGATAAACAGAAACATATCCAAAAATAGACACACAGAGACCTAGACAAACACATGTACACACAGAAACACCCACCAACCCACACCCGCACAGACACACAGTGAGACGGGGACACACACCTCACACAGACATGCCAGTACCCACCTGTACACCCCCACCCCCATCTGCACACACAGACCTAGACAAACTCACGTACACACAGGCATGTGCACCCACCCACACCCCCCAGAGACACACAGGGACACACACCTGCACACAGATACACCTGTACAGCACACCCCCATCTGCACACACAGACCTAGACAAACTCATGTACACACAGGCACACGCACCCACCCACACCCCCCACAGACACACAGTGACATGGGGACACACACCTGCACACAGACACACCTGTACACCCCCACCCCCATCTGCACACACACCCAAGCCCACCTGCACATAACAAACACACATACACACAAACACGTCCAGACACCCATACCCCCCCACAGATACACAGTGACACGGGGACACACACCTGCACACAGACATGACCACGCACACCTGCACAGACACGCCAATACCCACCTGTACACTCCCACCCCCCATCTACACACACGCCCATGCTCACCTGCACACACACATGCCCAACCACCCACAGCCCCACTGATACACAAAGACATGAGGACACGCATCTGGACACACAGACACACCCACCTGCAAATACAGACATGGCCACGCCCACCTGCACACAGACACGCCAACTTGCATACATAGAAATGCCCATACCCACCTGCAGACACACCCACACGCACTTGCACACACAGACACCCCCGTGCACACCTGCGTGTGCACTCACCCATCCCGCCCCCGTATCCTCGACACACCCCTGTGCACACCTGCACACGCACAGACATCAGCAGGCAGAACAGGGACACTCCCTCTTCTGTCTGGTGTGTTTCATCACAGCAGCAGCGTCCACACCCCACACGTCTCACACATGGGCACACCACAAGCGCCTCACCTGTCCCCTGGGTGGACAAGGAAGCAGCCAGGACGGAGGCTTCTCTCAGAGCATGAGACCCAGACCTAAAAGAAAAACAGCAGGCTCGTGGAGTGGACACCCACCTGCTGGCCAGCCCCGTGTGTCACCAGAACTGCATGCCAGGGGGTTCCCTGGACCGCTGGGGGAGGGTCTCCAGGCCCTTCCTCTGAGGTACCTCTGGGTGGACTGGAACCCTCAACCTCCCAATTAGCAGCCTGAAACGTGAGCTGCCTTCTCTCACTGTCGTGAGAAGCACCTTCCTAAACATAAAGGCTTAAAGCAGTGCCTGACTCCAGTGT